AGCAGAAAAACAACAGAAAGTGATCTGCTGGAAGCTGTCTCCACACACAGGCACGCGGACACACAGGCACGCACACACAGAGCTTTGATATGTGGCTCTGACTCAATTACAACTGGCAAACACAAGGGCTAGATATGCCTGAGAACGATGCTTGACAAAACTATATCCCACAAAAGAGAACTTGGTTTCCCAGAGTAAAATAAAGCAGATAGTGGCCACATCTGGATTTCTTCTCACTCTCACATCACTCTGCATTTCCTGCTTAGAACTGGGATCTCCCCAAGAGAGGCTTTTCTTGTGGTATTTCTAGCTGGGACTGGATGCACCACAAATCTCCTGAGAAGGTCTTTCCTTCCAAGATTCATGAGCTGGAGGCCCACGAAGCACAGATAGTTCAGGGAAGTGATTGACTGTGTGGATGCTTTCCAAGCTCTCAGCCTTTTGGGGGGTCCAGTAGCACTCACAGTGACAGGGGGTCCCCTCTCACCCCCTTCCCATAGCATGGACACTTGACATCACAACTGTCTGGAAAGCTCCTCACTCCAAAACATCACAAGGGAGACAAGAAGTCTCAGTGGGTCTGCCAAGCAGACAGGGCTTGGGGCTGCCTGGCTGCTTCAGGCCCTGCAGCAGGAACTCAAAGCAGCTGGTAATACACCAAGAGCAGAGGACACCACCAAATCACCCACCTGCTGGTTTCCATTGCCAGGGGACACCAGCTTTGCTCTGTGCTGGGAGGTGAGCAAAGTCCAGTGGGAGCCTCAGACCTTCCTTTGCAGGAAAAAAATCCTCAGGTCAACACGAGCTCTTCAATCCAGTCAATTGTGGTCCAATCCACCTCCATAGCACACATACCCCACTCTGCTGGCCTCTGGGTTTTCTGAAAAGGTGAAGAAAAAGCACTTTCAACAGTGTTTAGTTGATTGTGGGATACTTAGATCTCAGTTCCCTACTCATAAAAACAAGAGGGAGAGAGAAGCAGCAGCATTTCCCAGCTTCCTGTGGATCTTATGAAGATTAATGCATTAAAAAACAAAGTGTGTCAAGATTGTCCATAGGAAAAGCAAGTTAGGTCGTGTAGCACCGAGGAGGAGTGTATTTCAACACAAGGCTTGTTTATTTCATGTTGTTACTGTCCAAGGGAGGTTTGAAGGTTCAAATTAAAGCAGAACAAATGCAACTCTCTCTGTGCTCCAGAGGGGACTGCACAGTGTGTGGGTATCTAGGAATGCTCTCAGGAAGAGGAGGTTTGGAAACTATTGTGAAAACTGTGCTCAAGAAGAAGCAAAACCTACTGAATTCCCCAAGGAGACTTCACCACTCAGAACCACTCAGAGTTCTCCTTGTGGACAGGGTCTGGTGGTTTCAGACTTCTCTGCTCTTTGACCCAAATGCAAAGACTGGAGCCGCATAGTCTGAAAGGGCTCAGCCACCAGGTGTCAGATGTGTCCCTCCTCTGCCTTGGTCTGTTGTGGCTTCAGGGTAGCTCACACTGAACCCCCCAAACCCAGCAGGCACCTCCTGGCACAAACCTCCTGCAGAGTTAGGGTTAGAGACCCCTTTGTACTGTAACCCCACTCCTCAAGCACACAGCCCCCCTTCCTTCCACTTGATGAACCTCCAAACCTGAAGGCTTGCATGTCTGCCTGTCCTAGAGGAAATCTCACTCTCACAGTGTGTTTTGGCACAGTATGCACTGCCCAGGGTCACATCACATGGGGACTGTGGTTTTGTATTTTAGCACAGGACAGTGAGGCTTCCAGGACCTCTCCTTTTCACACGAGGCAGCCACTATTCCAGAAGTGTGGAGCCAGCTGGGAGCTGAATGCCCTCCAGTTCAATCTGCAGCACCATGCTACATGTTTATTTTCCTTCTGCACTCATGAGATACACATTCCTGAAAGAGGACATTTCTCTCCAGGCAAGTTAACACTCTATGTTTGGGCCTCCTTCAACTGACCAAAAAAAAGCACCAAAAATTCATGTCCACCATTTCTCAGGCTCTATTAGGAAATGTTTACCATTATCATGAGCCTGTCTGAAGAAAAGTGAGCTATTTCTATTTAAGCAGTGTGACAGGCTGGGGTGATGCTGGACCTGCATGTGCTAGGTGAAATCAGCATGAATGCTTCCCCTGCTCCTCTCTTTCTTTTACTAGATACCACCCATTTCAAACCATATTCCCCAAAATCAATCAGTAAAAGGTCATAAAATATCCACAGATGTCAAAAAAGAGTGCCACCAGTGCCTGGCACACAGTGGCTGGTGATGAGCAGGACACAGTGTTTGCTGGGTGGCACCTGTGCCCTGCTCAGAACCCTGGCCACCCCCCACCTCTTCCCCAGCCCTCTGCAGTGACACCTCTCTTACCTTTGGGTCTGCTGGAGTCTTGGCTAAAACAGAGGTCTTCAGTTTTATATAACCCTCCCTCTTTCTTGCTGAGCTGAGAAACTGGAGGATTTTCAGCCAAGCTCTTCTCTACCACCTAGTGGGAAACAGAATTTTTCCTGTCATGCTGAGCAGAGCAGAGCAGGATCTCTGGTGTGATCCCGAGCAAGCCCTTTGCAGCCCATGTCCACTGAGGATATCCCAGGGGCCCCAAAGGCCAGGGCAGCCCCAGAAATGGTTTCTTTCCTGACTCTCAGCAGCACCCTGGCTTAGGGGCAAGAAAGACTTGTTGGGAGAAGTTGTCCCCTCCACAATTACAAACTGTCCAAGCCTATTTTCCAGTTGATCACCAATAAAAAGGGCACCTAAATTTGCATCTCAGTGCCTCTCAGTGCAGCACCCACATACACATAAAGCTGAATTTCCCCTTTGTGCTTTCCTGCCTCCATCCACCCCAGATGAGGTTTGTGCATGACCCACAAGGCCCCTGCAGAGCTGTGCTGGACCCCACAGCACCTGAGCGCCAGCTGCCGGTGTCCGGCCCCGTGGCAATGCTCGCAGGAGTGGGGCTCTGGCCAAACTCCAGCACAGGTAATTGCAGCCTGTGCACTCAAATTCCCCCTGCAGATGCAGCCGCCTTCATTTCCTGTCCTGAGCTGTGGGGTAGTGTTGCAGCGTGTTGCTAAACAGCTGCCACGCGCTACCCAGAGGCGCTTGTGCTTCGGCAGTGGGTGGGTTTGGCACGCTCAAGGATGCTGAGAGAGCAGCAACAAGGGCACTGGCTTAGGCTGCTGCTTGCCTCTCCACCTCCCCAGCATGGCTTAGGCACTGCTGGCTCTTTCTGCTCTTTCTCACGGGGCTGAAATCTGGACAACATCTTCCCCTTTTCTGGTAAGCAAGCGCCCATGGGGAAAGCTCGGCTTTCTTCCAGCAGCTGCCGGATGGGAGGAGGCAAAGGGTTAATTCCACCAGTGAGGGAGGGTTCTACTGGCAAACTGGAGACCCCTGTGAGTTTTATGGGGAGGGCTCATGGGGGCGGAGGGACACGGCAGGGGGAAGAGAATTTGCTTTATGGCTTTGACAGGAACTCCCATCATGGTATAATTATGGAAGCGAGAAGTCTGTGTGTAATGAAGACCATATGCCGTGTTAAAACACACATGCACAAATATTAGGCTCCCGTGAGGCCTGTGGGGGAGCTGGGGAGGGGATTAGGAAGGGGTGGGGGACCCAGCCCTCCCCTGAGTTCTCCTTACAAATCCTCCAGCCCAGCCACAGCCAGGGCAGTGGGGATGTGGAGCAGCTAAGGAGTCCAAACACGGCTTGTTTGGGGTAAGAAACATCCGGTTTAAATAGCATTGGGTGGAAGGAAGAACCTCAGTGCCAAAAAAACAGGGTTTCTCCCTACATTGCTTCAGACAGCCTGAGAGCAAGGTTTCCTTCAGCAATAATTTTTCTCCAGCTCCTGCTATGATTTTTCCCTTTCCTTTCAAACTATGCCCTCACTGCTCTTCCCTCAGTGGAAAACATCTGCACACAGCTGCCTGTGGAGGCGACCAGCCCTCCTCCTCGCCTGATCCAGCTGTGCTGGCGGAGCAGCGGGAGCCACACAGCATCCCCAAGCAGCTCCTGGGCTGGGGAAGATGACTTCAGCAAGTACCAAGGCCACCCAGCTGCTGTTTGAAGTCCCCGTGCCATCCTCTCCATCGCCCTGCCTGCGCTTTACAATGTGCAGCTTTCTTGGCTGTGGCATATTAATCTTTCCTTTCCTGATCTCACATGTCTTCTGCTTCACATCTCCCACTCGCTGTCTTTATGGGTCCTTTTGGCTTTCTGAGGTTCTTTCTTCCTTTGCTGGTGACACGTTTCCAAGATTACTTTGCTGCTCACTTTCTGCATCGGTCACCCTGCAGGTCCCTGTGACTCTCATGCCCAGCAGCACACACTCACCTCAGCACGCCCAAGTACCCACCACACCCCCCAGGGAGTCATTCTCCATGTTAACCTTCACAGGGATGGACAGAAGCTGTCCTTCACGAGTCTTAAATCCACCTACTATGTCCATCCCCCCCCACTCTTGTCCATTCTTCTCCCTGCTGATGGGACAGACTCTGGCCTGGAGCAGATGATCCTGGTTTTCTCTACTCTGGATCACTTTCTCCTTGCTGGTGGTGGCTTAACTGGGAGTCCCTGGCAGCCAGCCTAGTTTGCTCTTCCAACTATTTTGCCAGCAAAACAGGAGCTGTTGTTGCTGTGTAGCAGGGCTGGAGGTGAGAGCTGTGCAGGAGGTGCTGTGGGCAGCGATGCTGCTCTCCTTGCCAAGCAGCATCAAGGGTGTCCAGCTGCAGGCTGGGATAAGCAGGGCAATGCAAGGCTATGGGAAAGCAAAACTGATTAGCTCAACATAAGCTCTCCTTGCACCAAAGGAGGGAAAAACACATCCCTTTGCATCTCTGGTAGAAAAGAGAGGTGACAGGAAAAATTCCATTCCCTGTGGAAGAAATACCAAGTGCAGCAGAGGATTATTTCAACTAGTTTCACTGGGACTGGCAACATGCAGGAGAAGAGAGCCCATAATTTGTAATTTTTTTAATCTTTCATACCACCTCCATTTAAAATACTCTTTTAATTCATTTATACATATAGTATTGTCTGTCCTCCTAAAAAAAATAGCTGCTTTCCACCACCCATAGGTACATTACAAATACAGGGAGGCACAACTCCCACAGCACAGCCAGGCAGTATTAGAAGGTCATCCACTCCAGGAGGGAAGTGCCTGCATTTCCCAGGCATGAAAAGGGAATCCCTCCAAGACTACAGCACAGAAAATGCCTAGATGAACACTGCTGCCAAATGCATACTCATTTTAGGATGTAGCTGTCCTGCTCACTTTATTATTATATTATTCTTCCCTCTCGTTTCCCACCTGCATCTGCTCTGAGGCAAAGCAATCATGAGCATTCAGTGTCAGCAGCAAAATTTTTAATTGTTGCTCTGATTAGAAGTATCACTGACCATGGTGGTTAGAAGTTGCTGATACTCAGGACTCATCTTCCTCAACACTCACTACCCACATGCAGCACATCCTCCCCTCCCTTCTCACCTGGTGAGAAGCAGAGCCATCCCCCGACAGGCCCATCTAGCCCAGCTGTGATACCCTGAATTCGCCAGGTCTCCTGCAAACTTTTACATCCATTCTTACAGGGGAGAGCTGCCACGTGGAGGTGAGTCCCAGGTGTAGTGCCATGGCCTCCCTGTGCTGGGGACAGCAGGGCGAGGAGCAGCCTCTTCCCTTGGCAGCGTCTGCTGCGATCCGCGATTCCCGTCATGCACAGTGTGTCATTTCCCATGAGTACCTGCTTGCTCCTGCCATCTGCCATGATTTATAGAAAATGGGCAGTGATTAATAGCCCAGTCAATGCCGAGTGAAGCCATTTTCTTTCATTTACCTGCTCCCTGACCTCCCTGCACAGTCCCAGACAGGGGCTGGGAAAGTGTATTAATCATGCACTTAAAATATATTTAAAAGGAGAGATTGGCTGGGAGCTCGGTGGTATTTATGGAGTAATTTTCTACAGAGGATGCAAGCTAATTGCCAGATAAAACAAATGGGCTCTTTGAAATGGAAATGAGTCACTTGGAGGTACTAGATGTTTGGTCCTTGAGTGATGCCCCAAACCCACACTCCTCCTGGGGCTCTCTTTCACCTACCTGAGTCCAAGTCCAGTAGCAGCTGCAGCTCTCAGACAAAAAGGATGGGGCATGCCACACCAGCTCGAAGTGTGAGCATGGTGCTAAGAGATCCTTGGCACCAGAGAGGTCTGTGCTCCCACTGTAGCATGGTCACAGCACTGGGGCAGGGGCTGCAGGGGTACAGAGAGATCCTGCCAGGCTACAGTCCCCCTGAAAAGTTCCTGCAACAGAGAAAGGCTGTCTGGGGAAAAGACTTTGATTTCTTATGACATGGGCTGCATTACTAGACAAATGGTGGCATTTGTCCCCTCTCTGGACCCACAATATTAACAGCCAGTAGGCAAGCTCCAGACCATCTCCCCAGACACAAGGCAGGCTCTCTACACCATCTTTTATGAGCTCCAAGTAGCAGGACTGGGGGTCCTCGTCCCTCAGCAGAAGCAGATCACTTTTTGGGTGGTAAACATCAGTGTCCCTTGCTTCCCCCAAGCTCAGAACTTGAGCCCATGCTCACTTCTATCCCCTGTGGCACAGAGCCATGGTGCCACCTCTGGAATGGCACCCCCCAGAGTCTCAGAGCGGGTGAGGCTGGGAGGGACCACATTGGGTCACCTGGTCAAACCACCCTGCTCAAGCAAATCCACCCTAGAGCCACATGGCACAGAATCTTCTCCAGACAGTTCTGGAGTATCTCCAGTGAGGGAGACCCCACAATCTCTCTGGGTAGCCTTTTCCAGTGCTCAGTCACTGCACAGTAAGGAAGTTCTTGCTTGTGTTCATTTTCTTTCCTTGTGTTACAGCCTCGGGGCAGCACCATGTGCACTGTGTTCTGTCCAGTTTTGCATGACCTCCCAGAAAACGCTGCTGTGCCATGGGCCCCCCAGGACAGCTGGGGTTGATAGCAATAAAAAAGAAAATCCCTTGTCAAGCTGAACAAAATTATTGAATTATTCTCACCAGCCGGAGACCAAAGGTTTGTTGACAACTTAATTAACTGTGTTTGTAATGAATTTTTGGCCACATGCAACAGACTAATTATCAAAGCAAACATTAATCTCTTTCTAGGTACATCAAAGTATTGAGAGCACAAAACATTTACATGAGTCTCAGATAAAATTCTTTGCACTAATTCTAACATAATTAAAAATATGTTGGGGCTAAGGTAATTATGCAAGGTGCTTATGTGACATAACAATGTAATACAAGACGGGCTTATTTTTACCTAGAGTCAATCAGTAAAGTTCTCAAACAAGTGTAATGTCTTTTAAATGTATTTTCAAGGAAAAGGAAACAGCACCACTTTTGAGCTCAGTTAAAGCATTTTAAATGGCCCACTAAGGCTGGATGAGATAAGAACCTACATTATTGTACTATCTGAGCTGTTCCCAGCAATAACTAGACAGGAGTAAAATCGGTTAGTTTTAAAAGGATCTTGCAGCATTTCCAGCTGTCTCTGTGCAATAAGTGATGGTTTGCTTTTCTTTACTTCAAAGTGCTGGTCTGAATTTGATGCCTGAGAGGTGGAGCAGACTGTGTCCACCCATTATTTCCTAAGGGATGCCCTTCCCAAGAACAGGCTGCATGAAAGCAAAAGAGAAGAGCAGAAGGGAAATGGACCTGCCACATTTTCTGGGATGAGCTGTGGCTGGACACCTCCTTGCTCTGGAGGGGGAGGCACTATGCAACAAGGCAAAAGTGGCTTTTCCAGATATCCCCATGGCTGTGGAAACAACCTGGCCACAGTGAGCTCAGCACCTGCTGCACGTGTCACCAAACAACTGCCTGCAGTGCACCAGATGAGCCTCTGCAGGAGAAAATGACCACAGGGCAAGGTCATTCCCAGGTCCCACCTGCCATCTGTGCTGAGAGTCATTTCTACTGTCACAGGAGATGACCTAGTTTCAGGCAGCAGGTCCCAGAGATGGTACCCTGCATCCCCCACCATGACCTCCTGTCCCTGGGACCAGCACACCTGCACTGCTGTCACCGAGGGCCTTGTGGTGTGAGCCATGCACAGAGTCCATGGTGACCCAGAAAATCCTTCAGCTGATGAGGATGCAAAAAAAAAAAAAAATTTATATGCTGCCTTAGATCTGTGTCACAGAACTGCAGAGACATGGTTCCAGAGGTCCCTGACTTGCTTCATCCCTGATGTGGGTGTGCATATCTGCCTGATGCTCTGACCCATCAGGATGGATCTCCAGCACTGGAGGTGAACAGTTTGTCACTTTATGCTGGTACTCCCCTTAGAAATTTGTGAACATTTCTCACTTGTGTGTGATCCTGCCCTGCCCACTGGTGATGGGCAGAGGTGGAAACCTTCATGGGCACAGAAGTCTCGTGGATGTCATGGGCATCTCCCAGGATGTCCATCCGCCACCTGATCCCCCTCCTGACCCACAACAAGCAGGGCCACCTCCATGTGGGTTGTACTGGGCTAGAGCCTTCAGCAGCAGATAAAAACTGCCCATTCTTAACAGAGCAGGGGGTTCAGCTCCCTCGTGTCCCACCACACTGGGTAAACCAGCAGCAAGGCCCCAGGGGCTTGTGCTCCAGCACCATCCAGTAGCTGCACCCCGTCCCAACACCATCCCCACCGCAGATGTCAGGACACATGTTCCTGTTTTAAAACCAGCTCCTTCCCATGGCCTTTGGAGACATTTGCTGGAGGAAAGGCTGCCTTTGAACAGATTTTTGCCTAGGTTTCACTTCATTAATCACATCAGTTCTTGACACAAAGCACTGAGGACTTGCTGGGGGTGCAAGGCCAGAGAGCAGGGTCATGTCGAGTGGCTCCAAGGGGCTGTCCAGTGTCATTCCCACAGACACACAGCCTTGAGGAACATGTTAAGCTTTTGGCCTGATTTGCAGACTTAAAAAAATTAACAGGTAAGTTTGGAGCAACAACGCATAACTTTTCTAATACCAGCTTGTGTTACTGTTCAAAAGACAACTACCTTTACACCAAGAAAAAGAGAGCAACATCACAGCTCAAGGTCCTCAAAAGGAGACAGAGCTATAGAGAGACTATCTGAATTTCTTCCATGTTGGTGGGGCTTAGCCTACAGTTACTCAGGAGACAGCCCTGCTCTTTGGCCTTACCAGTAACTAGTCAGCTAATTGCCCTGATGAAGCTGAGGGTGGGACAGAAGAAAGCCTGGTCATTAAATCTGTGCGCAGGAGAGAGCTGTAACAGCCTTTCCTCTCCCTGACTCTCTGGCCAAACAGTTTTGGCATTTGTTCAAAGTTTGAGTGGTGAAGCCAAGTCTAAACACTTGACAGGCTCCAGTGCAGTGCTGCTCCTCAAAGTCCAATTGCCCAAAAGACAACTCTCACGTTCCTCAAGTTTCTGAGCAGCTTTGTGTCTGGGGTTTTCTTAAAACCTTCAAAGCTCCTGCAGGATTAGTGCTTGGCTTAACCTCTGGCAGAATTGACAGAGGCTTTAGGAGCTGGAAAGACTTCAGGACTTTGTCCTTGCCCTCTCAGCAGAGGCCAGAACCTTTATATTCAGGTCACCTCCCAGCCACAGAGCTGCTGGGGGTGCTCTCTAGTAAGAGCCTGCAGAGAGAGGAGAGGAGTAGTGTGCAGATGTTACCCTCAACATCTGGAGCAGCTGAGATAAAAATACAGCTGTGGAGGGAGGCAAGCTTTTGAAGTACAGGGGAAAGCAGAAAACATTGGCTAGGGGACTGGCAGGCTACAGTCTGGTATGAATATCTCGTGCTCAGGTTGGCCTCAACAAAAAGGCATAATAATTTCCATTAGTTGTCCAAAGACATTTGTGACAGCTGTTCAGCACACTGTTCTTCAGCTGCTTGCAAAAGGGAGTGCCCTCACTGAGCAGCTCCACATAGTTTTTAGGGGTCTTTTAATCCTGACAAAACTCTCTCAAGATTAGGGGATGTTAGACCCATTTTAGTAATGGGAAACAGAGAGAGCTCAGGTGTCTAAAGGGCTTTTAGCACTGGCATAGAGGAAATTACTCAGCATCAGTGGAAAAGGTGCATGGACAGCCCTCTATATTTTAAGAAGTTATAATAACTCCAAAATCTGGACCAGAGCATGGAGACGGGTAATTTTAAAATGTATGTTTGTAATCTTTTCAACATTATCTTTCCAAGTTATGAATAATAAAGATTGGGAATTAAACACACTCCTGACATTTTCCCACTCTCTAACAGGGAAGTGATCTGAAAATCTGGTGGGAGAAGGGCTTGTAAAAAAATGAAATTCAAGAAAAAAATAAATCCATTAACATTTTCCACTTCACAGCTACAAAGACTTTTGGCCTTTTCTCAGAGGAAAACAATCTCACATTATTCCCAAATTATCACTCCCATCACCCTGAAAACCATGGGATTTGTTTATATGACTAAAAACTACAAGATTGCAAACTGGGGGAGAAGAAGGTCTGGTTCCAGCCTCTACAGTCCCTGTCACCAGCTGTCCCCCTTTTGAGGCCATACATGAAAAAAAAGATTTTAAAAAAAGGGGTCAGGGTGGGCTTCCCAAGCAGGATGGACCAGACACTGCATCTCTGTATCCCAAGAAAATTCTCAGGGCAGTAGTCAGCCATCTGCAGGTTCTGAGAATGCCCTGGACCCCCTTACCTCCAATCTTCTCAAAGCCACAAAGTGCTGAGCACACCAAAAGCTGCCCTGGGGTCGGGAAAGATCTTGGCGGGCTGGGAGCAAGACTTGGACTTTCCCTTCCAGCTGAATCAGGCCTAAAACTTTTCTGCCAGCTGCAGAACAAAAGTAAGAATTTTACTCACAATTCCTTAAGCCCCTTGTGGTGAGCAGGCAATCCCAAGGCTAATCCCAGCTGCCAGAGGAAAAGCCGCAGCCGCGCTCCGGGATGCGCCCAGCGACAGCAGATGGAGCTGCGCGACCGCGAGAGGGACCGGCACCGCTCCGGGGCTCGGGACACCGGGACAGCCGGGAATTTCTGCTCCGTGCGGCCTTCTGAAGGGCTCCTTCCTTGTCACGAAGAAAGGAAAGGGAAAATGAAAGGCAAAAGGCAAAGGAAAAAAGGAGGGAAAAAAAGAAAAAAAAGGGGGAAAAAAGGGGGGGAAAAAGGGGGGGGAAAAAGGGGGGGGGAAAGGTGTATTTGGAAAAAAAAGGGAAAAAAAAGGAAAAAAAAGGGAAAAAAAAAGGGAAAAAAAAAGGGAAAAAAAAGGGAAAAAAAAGGGAAAAAGGAATCTTTGCTTCTGAACGAGGTA